AATTGCCTGAACCCAGGAGGTGGAGGTTGCGGTGAGCCGAGATCACGCCATTGCACTCCAGCCTGGGTAACATGAGTGAAACTCCGTCTCAAAAAAAAAAAAAAAAAAAAAATTGCCAAAGCTCAATCAAGAAGGGCTGTGAACCAGGCTTTGCTGTGAGTACTCAAAAGTCAAATAGGATGAACTGGGAGGCCATTGAAGGTCATGCCCCACTAAAGCACTTACTATAAAACACACCAAATGTTAGGAGCTTGAGTTTTGAAGTCCAGCAGATCTAGATTTGAGTATTGAGTTAGTATTACTAACAAAGACTTTGGACAAGGTGCTTAACCACTTTGGGGACATGTGTTACTGTGAGGATAACATGAAAACTTCAGCATAGTGTCTGACACATAGTGAATCCTCAACAAATGATAGTACCTAGTATTACAGATAATACAACAGAGCTCTGAGTGCAAAAATACCCTTTAGGAAAGTCTCATTGGTGCTACTGCATCTTTGTTTTTTTGCGACAGAGTCGTGCTCTGTCGCCCAGGCTGGAGTGCAATGACGTGATCTGAGCTCACTGCAACCTCCATCTCCTGGGTTCAAGCAACTCTCTGCCTCAGTCTCCCGAGTAGCCTGGATTACAGGCACCCACCACCACATCCAGCTAATTTTTTGTATTTTTAGTAGAGACGGGGTTTCACCATCTCGGCAAGGCTGGTTTTGAACTCCTGACCCTGTGATCCACCTGCTCAGGCCTCCTAAAGTGCTGGGATTAAAGGTGTGAGTCACTACGCCCGGCCTTATTATTGCATCTGTCAAGTCCAGTTACAACAGAATTTTAAGTTGTAGCAACTAGGATTATAGGAAGGTTCTGGGGTACAAAATCTGTTTTGTTTGTTTGTTTTTGAGATAGTTTTACTCCTGTTGCCTAGGCTGGAGTGCAATGGCGCAATCCCAACTCACTGCAACCTCCATCTCCCGGGTTCAAGTGATTCTTCCACCTCGGCCTCCCAAGAAGCTGGGATTACAGGTGCGCACCACCATGCCCGGCTAACTTTTGTATTTTTAGTAGACACAGGTTTCACCATGGTGGCCAGGCTGGTCTCAAATTCTTTTTTTGTTTTTAGGGACCCTTAGTGCTAAATTTTTTTAGTGGTCTCAAATTCTTGACCTCAAGTGAGCTGCCCACCTCGGCCTCCCAAAGTACTGGGATTACAAGCATGAGTCACTGTGCCAGGACCAAAATCTGTTTATTTATTTATTTATTTTAAGACGGAGTTTCGCTCTTATTACCCAGGCTAGAGTGCAATGGCGCGATCTCGGCTCACTGCAACCTCCACCTCCTGGGTTCAAGCAATTCTCCTACCTCAGCCTCCCGAGTAGCTGGGACTACAGGCTGTGCCACCATGCCCAGCTAATTTTTGTATTTTTAGAAGAGACGGGGTTTCACCATGTTGACCAGGACGGTCTCGATCTCTTGACCTAGTGATTCACCTGCCTCAGCCTCCCAAAGTGCTGGTGTGAGCCACTGTGGCCGGCCCAAAATTTGTTTATACAAAGCAAAGTCCCTGTGTTTCCAGGATACAAATTCCTTGAGGTTTTCATTTTGTCCCAGGTTTTTTTTTTTTCCAATGTAAACCAAGAATTTTATTTATTTTTCAGAGATAGAGTTTTGCTCTGTTGTCCAGACCAGAGTGCAATGTCTCAATCATAGCTCACTGCACCCTCAAATTCCTAAGCTCCAGTGATCCTCCCATGTCAGTCTCCTGAGTAGCTGGGTCTACAAATATGTGCCATCATGCTGGTGAATTTTTTTTTTTTTTGAAACAAAGTCTCGCTCTGTGGCCCAGACTGGAGTGCAGTGGCATAATATTGGCCCACTGCAACCTCTGCCTTCTGGGTTCATGCAATTCTCGTTCCTGCCTCAGCTTCCCAAATAGCTGGGACTACAGGTACATGCCATTATACCCAGCTAATTTTTTTTTTTTTTTGAGATGAAGTCCCATTCTGTCACACAGGCTGGAGTGCAGTGGTGTCATCTTGGCTCACTGCAACCTCCGCCTCCCGGGTTCAAGCGATTGTCCTGCCTCAGCCTCCCAAGTAGCTGGGATTACAGGCATGTGCCACCACGCCCAGCTAATTTTTGTATTTTTAGTAGAGATGGTGTTTTGCCATGTTGATCAGGCTGGTCTCAAACTCCTGACCTCATGATCTGTCCACCTCAGCCTCCCAAAGTTCTGGGATTACAGGCGTGAGCCACCGTGCCTGGCCTACACCCAGCTAATTTTTGTATTTTCAGTAGAGACAGGGTTTTGCCATGTTGGCCAGGCTCGTCTCAAATTCCTGGCCTCAAATGATCCACCCGCCTTGGCCTCCCAAAGTGCTGGGATTACAGGCATGAGCCACTGTGCCCAGCCTGTCCTAAGCTTTTCACTTATTCCACTTTGGGTTCATGGACACATGTTACAATCTCAACTTTAGGGATCTGGAGATCAACACAAGCAGCTTGAACTTATCCCAGTAATAACCAATACAGGACTAGACTCCTAACTTTCAATTTAAGGCTCTTTTTGTTGTTGAGACAGAGTCTTGCTCTGTCACTCAGGCTGGAGTGCAGTGGCACAATCTTGGCTCACTGCAATCTCTACCACCTGGATTCAAATGATTCTGTCTCAGCCTCCCAAGTAGCTGAGATTACAGGTATGCGTCACCACACCTGGCTGATTTTTGTATTTTTTAGTAGAGACAGGGTTTCACCATGTTGAGGCTGGTTTTGAACCCCTGACCTCAAGTAATCTGCCCACATCGGCCTCCCCAAGCTCTAGGATTACAGGTGTGAGCCACCATGGCCAGCCACAATTTAAGGTTCTTTCTACCTCACCACAATGCTTCCAGGGTATAACCAGAAAATGCTACAGCATAATTATTAATCTCTAAAATTATAAATCCTTAGGGTTTTCATACTTGGCACTTGGTAGGTGTTCAATAAATGGTTCCTGACTGAACTAAGATATTTATTGCAGATCAGGGATCATGCTAACGGGAGAAGGAAACTGATAGACTCACACTGGCAACACCCACAAACCTCTGGCTGTCGTAGTTCAAGCAGGTTTAATAGATGAACTGAAGCTGTAGAAACTGTGAGGAGAAAGAGCCCCCGTCCTCGACTCTCCCTCACAGCTCTCTACATTGTGGGGCTGCCCAGTACCTGCACCACCAGGTTCCCACGGCTCCGACAGAACCGCTCCAACATTTTTAGGAAGAGGTGGGTCGTCTCCACCAGGTCACGAAGGAAAGAGCGGGGCTGGCATCTCTCATCGAACTTTCGAAACAGTGCCAGGAATAGTTCTCGGTACTCCATCACATAGAAAATATTATCTAGGAATGGGGGAAGAGAAAGGGATGGAAGAGCTATTCTGGAAAGCTTAGAAAAGGAGAGATGGATGAAACTGGGACTGGGAGGAATGAGATTCTCATCACGAGACAAGACAGGCTGGGTTTGGGGACCAGGCCAGGGCCTCACTCTTGATGATGCGGCTGCTCTCCCTCACAGCCTCATCTGGAGACACGTCCATCTCATTCACTGTGGCCAGCAGTTCCTGATAGGCCTTCAGAGCCAAGTGCATCCTGAGAGTTGAGGGGAAAAGGTGAAACGGAGGACAACTTAGGGCAATGACCCATGGAAACAGCAACCTCCCACAGCCCAAAAAAAAAAAAAAAAAGTGCCCCCTGAACCAAATTTCCCAGCCTTGCTCCCCAGCCTGACCACCTGAATCCTAAATCAGGAAGAAAGTACCAGCTGGACTTCAAGCATTCAGATTTCTAGCTCATTCCAACTCCAGTAACCATCTCACTCACCGGCGTGCCCAGGAGGCAGCTTCCTTGCGGTCAGTCAGCATCATCTCATAGTAGTTGGTGAGGTTCTGCTCAATGAAGTGGAAGGTACGGACACTGAGGGTCTCAGAAACCAGGCCTGGCCGGAAGGAGGCAGCTCGGTTGAAGGCCATGAAGAAAGCCAAGGCCCACATATAGTAGGTCTCATCATGCTGCTGAGCTTTCTCCCGAAGCAGGTGATCCTAACATTTAAAAAAAAAAAAATCACTATGACTTCAGGGCTTTCAATATCTTCCTTCCTGTTCTGTGATGATGGGATGGATGCTGGACACCACTGTCATCATTTGTGTGGTTTTTTATTTGAGGCAGAGTCTCACTTTGTTGCCCAGACTGGAGTACAACGGTACGATCTCAGCTCACTGAAACTTCCACCTCCCGGGTTCAAGCGATTCTCCTGCCTCAGCCCCCCAGGTAGCCGGGATTACAGATGCCCACCACCAAGCCCGGTTAATTTTTGTATTTTTAGTAGAGATGGGGTTTCACCATGTTGCAGGCTGTTCTCAAACTCCTGACCTCAGGTGATCCACCTGCCTTGGCCTCCCAAAGTGCCAAGCCACTGAGCCTGGCCTGTTTTTTTTTTTTTTTTTTTTTTTTTTTTTTTTTTTTTT